TGTAGCAGAACTGCCGTTGTAAGTCCGGAGCAGTCATGTGATATTTCACTTATAAACATAATGACTGTGTTGCTTAGTGATGGAGTTGCAGGTCCCAATTGCAGTCATTAAGTGAGGACTACCTGTTTAAGAATAATTTTTAAATGGACATCAGTGCAAAAAATTACCATGTGCATATTTTATGCAAATCTATTTCTTATTTTGTCCTCTTTTTTGCTGGTCACCCTCATTCCCTGAGGCAAGAAAAATGAGGGTGGTGGGGTAGGTTACAAATTTAGGGGGACTTGCACCTGTCAAGCCAGAGCCCTGTCAGAACGTGCTCTCATTTTCTGGACAAGCTGGCCATGAGGCTGTATAGCTACAGTAGCCATATTTTCTCAGAAAAATAAAGGACAAACCTGAAAAAGGGGCAAATCTAAAAGAGGTTCATAAGGATAAAAATTTTTAATTGTTTATGTTTATAACTTGGTTTTTCAAAACAAAATTCAAGAGCAAAACCAAGAAAAACTTTATAAAAATGCATATTCTAATAAATCTAAAATCAAACAGTATATGTAACTTTATTTTAAAAAGGCAATTCACTTTCCATATTTTTCACATGAATGTGAAAGACTGTGCATTAAGTGGAACCATTGGAACGGTAAAAATTATATGACTAAAAAAGAGGACAAAAGTGAGGTTTTGACCAATGAATCAATCGAAAGGACAGCTTTCTGAAATAAAGGACTGTCCTTTATAACAAAGGACATATGGTCACGTATGTACAGCTAGTCATCTTTGCTGTCTTATGAGATCGTTCAGGCAAGCTAAAAAGAATTGAGAGAAAGAGTGGCCTGGTGTTTAAGTCAACAAGGCAAGGTGAGGAGATGGTAGAGTGTAAGGCCTGAGCTGCAAGATCTGGAGGCTTTCTTTCTTGTTCCTGTAAATAATGGCCCTGCTGGAGTGTCTCGTCAAGAAAAGGAACTGGATGGCCCAAATTGGGAGGGGGGCTTTCAGGCACTGATCGAGAAAAGACTGCTAATTCAGCATCTGGGTCCTTAGCTATTAATTGGCTCGCTTTCTATCCCATGGTACTTCTCCTTCAAGTTGCTTGTGACCAATGTTGAAACAGATTTAAGCATACAAAGACATTCTTTTCATACTTAATACATCAGTAAGATTGTCAAGTCAAAACCAGGAGACGGAATGAGCTGTTATTCTGAATGCTTTCACTGTTTCCTGAAGACTGTCAAATCAGACGCTGGATCCATCAAAGCAAGCAAAGTAGCTAAGATTTAGCGCCACAGAGATAATATGAAGGAGTTGTTAGCAAATGCATTTGCAAATGGGTCTTGTCCATCATTTGGATTTCTTGTTCCTCTTGCTATGGTTTGAACTGGCAGGATACTTCCCCCCCCCCATTGCTTCCAGTCAAGAATATTGATATTCTTTCAGTGATATTATCTGATATACAGGCTATTAACTTAATGTATTGCAATAAGTACATTGCAACAGATATTGCAAACGCTGAAAGAATTGTAGGCTTTTGTTTTTGCTTTAATATTCTGCTAGAACGCTAGCAGTGAAATTTGGGGAACTATGTGGATTGCCCGTGGCTATTAGACCATCTCTCTTTGATGTTGTAGTTGCAGCAAATTGGGCATTGTGAGTCCTGAGTTCAGGCTGCAAAGTTGATAGGGTGGAGGGAGGGGGGAGGTTCTGGATGCACTGGCCCCATCTTTAAAATCATCAGGACATGTTTCAGCTCTCAAGGAAGGCAGACCCCGATTTTTATGCAAGTGAGTTTTTCCAGATGTTGACTTCAGGCTTAATAGCCTTCAGCTTTGCAGCCTTGTTAGCAAAGGACTGTCACGGAAGAGGTGAAACTCATTTCAAACTTTTCATTAATGTTGTAAAATTATATGCAAATCCCATCTTTCCTCTAGGAGTTCAAGGTTGTATATTTGCCCTCTAGGATTTCAAGGTTATATATAAGTAGGTCAGGCCAACTGAGCCGTAGTCCCCCAGTGTGCTTCATGGCTGGGTTGAAATTTGAACACAGAGCTCTTCCTCACAGCAAAAGTGCCATCCATTTGTCTTTGAACCAGCAGAAAACTAAACTAATGTACAATATGCTGCCCCCTTCCCCCGCCCAGTAAAACAAAGCTGGGGGAATTCACCAGCCTATCCCTGTTCTGCCTCAGGAATTATGCACGCAAATGCTGCTGTCCTTATTTTGAGCACACAGGGCAAGTTCAGGGTAGGGCAGGCGGATTCCCCCAGCTTTGTTTGCCTTCCTTCCCACCAAACATCGCCAGCTGGCAGAAAAGCATCCACCAATCACCCTCCTTAATGTTGGAGAGAGCTGAGTTTGGAGAGAAAGTGAGTTTTAACAGATGGCTAGACTAGTGTGTTGAGCCATCTGCCAAAACTCGCTCTGGTTTTGCGCAAATATTTTGTGCGGGTGTGTTCAGAAGAAGCTGTCAGGGTTGAAGTTAGCAAGATGGGAAGAGGAAAGATTGGAAGCAGAGAAATCTGTTATGAAAACACTGTGCAGATGGACATAACAGCTAAACCTATGAAAAGTCCTTTCTTCTTAGGATAGCATAAAGAAACCCAGGAGTTAACTCTGCATTATGTCTCTGTATACGACTGGTCTCTGGCTTGATAAAAGCTGCTCTGTTTTAGTTTGCTGTGGCTACTGTAAAGGAAATTTACGCATACATGTGAAGTCCTAGATTCCCTATGAGTGTGCTGAATTTCAAAGAGAATTATTGCAGGCATCTGAGGACCTTCAACAGGAACCTTACTGTTAGTTGTTATCAGTTATTAGAAATATTAGAACTATTCTGGAATAGCCTGTTCAAAACCAGCCTGAGCGACAGCAGACAGAGTCAGGGGGGGTTGTACCATGAAGTAGCAGAGAGCGACCCAAGTTTGTATAGTCTCTGTCTCTCTGCTTAACTGTGCACCATTCCCTACCACCACCACTGCTCAGCTGCTGTTTAGGCTGATCCCCATTTCTGGACCAGGAATCAACTTGGAGATCTGAAGAACACAGGGGCCAGAGCACAGTTTGGGAGGAAAAAACCAGATTTTCTCACTGCCCAATGTCAAATAGCCCTGGGAAAGAGTGCCCAGGCACCAGAGAGACAGGGGCATACCTGCACCAGCTTAAAGTGGCCAGCAGGTGCCAGGCTGACCCCACCAATCTGACTGTACCATGCACACAAAGTCAGTGAAGAGCATCAAATTGTATACCCCGCAAAAACTATGTTGGGAGAAGGGGGAAAACACTAGTTTAATGCTGGTGCAGTTTAGGATATCTGAAATCTGCCTCGGGCATGGCCTGGGGATCAGATGAAGGGAATGTCGGGCAGACACAGCAGAGAGAAAGAGATTGCCAGGGCATGTTATGTCTGCAGTTAGATGCAAATAAGAAAAAACGCTCAGCCTCCTTTGTCCTAGTCTGGGATGCTGTCCTAGCCGTAACATCAGGATGAGCAACTTTTGTTGGCCTGAGAGGCAGAGCAGCCTTGGAACAGCATGTGGAAAGGCTGCACTGCAAAAAGGAGAAGAGCCACATCAATATTTTTGTAAAGAGATGGAGGACAAGGAATTGAAGGAAGAAAACAGCGTAACCAGCAGGGAGGGCCAGGAGAGGCAGTAGCCATGGGAATCAGGCCCAAAAGGAAGAAAAAAATCCAGCAATGGGAAATGGCAGAAAGAAGCAACAAAGGTTATGGATCAGGGGAGGAAAAGGGCAGCTGTTTGGTTCCATCAAAATTTGATGTCAGGATCATGGGGGACATTATTACATTGCCTGATAAATGTGACTTTTTTTTCCTTTTGAAGGAAAGAGTTACCAACCTTTTGCTACAGGGACCACACTAGGTTTGGCAGCTGCTTCAGGCAGCAGCTTCTGTGTGCTGTTAAAGGTGGGAGATGAGAGGGGGGTCGATCCATAAGGCACCCCATCCAGCAGGAGGGCTGTTGGGTGCCATCTGCTGAAAGGGGAGCTGCATGAGGGCCTTTGCTCAAATCCCACGCTCTTGTGGAAATCCAGGTCATTTCACTGAGCAGCCTGCATTTTCTTGGTGGTCAATTGTCCTGTTTATAATTTAGTCCAGTGTTGTCCAAACTTGGCCACTTTAAGATGAGTGGACTTCAACTCCCAGAATGGCTGGGGGATTCTTGGGATTTAAATCCC